AGACAGACAGACAGACAAGTTAGGTTAGATTGTATAACCTGCTAAAATAAAATGACAGAAATAATATTTTCTCTAGAAAAATGATTATTTCTGGGCTGGGGAGATAGCTCAGTAGAATAAGCACTTGCCTGGCAAGAGCAAGGGCCTGAGTTCAATCCCCAGTTCCGCAAAAAAAAAAAGAAGAAATAATATTGACTCTGAGCCTTTCCCTTAACCACATAATTCTTTCTGTTGAAATTGTCAAAGCTTAGTTTGCCTCATTTTCTGCTTGCTGGTATCTTTGTAATAAAGCTGATCTCAAGTAGCCCATGCTGCTCTCATTACAGGTTCCATGCCTCTGTGGCAGTGCATCGTGCTTGGTGTGTGGTTGCTGTCCCAAAAGGAACTCCACTGTGACTCGAATCATCTATGCTATAATTGTCCTCCTGGGCACGGCAGTGTCTGTTATCATGCGGACAGAAAGTATGGAAACTGAGCTGAAGAAAGTAAGTAGAAATAACAGTGCCTTGATATATTGATTATTTTTATGAGCTTTTGCAATATTTGGTTTGTAATTGTTTCTAATAGTCCAGAGAAAACAGACTTTTCTTCTGAAGTCCAGGTTGTCCCTGAACATGCTGTATAGCCCCATGTGACCTTAAAGCTCAGTATATTCCTGCCTCAGCCTCCCTAATCCTGGGATTACAGGAAAAATAAAAAAAGAACTTAAAAGGAATCTCAAAGCTGGATTCTGTGGTGCAAGCCTGTAATCCAGCTACTCTGGAGGCTGAGGCAAGAGGATCACAAATTCAAAGTAAGCTTGGGCAATTTGTGAAGGCTTTGTCTCAAAATAAAATGTTATAAAGTTCTTGGGATATAGCTTTGTGCTCTCTTGGTTCAGTTCCTAGTATTAGGGGATGGAGTGGAGGGAAGGATCCCAAGATATTTTCTTTCCTTGTAGGTTAAAGCTTTAAGCTAGACTAGTCCTTCACCTTTGGAAGGAAAGAAGTCTGTTGTAACTGGAAAGGCTCATGGGAAACTTAAGATAAGTTCATTAGCATGAAAGCCAAAGGAAGACTCTTAATTTTTGAACAAAGGCTGTTTATGCTGTTTGGTATCATGACTGTTAAGTCAATTAGAAATCGAAGGGAAGGCTGGGAAGGTAGCTCCATGGTCTGAGTGCCTGCCTGACAAGTGCAAGGACCCGTGTTCGATCCCCAGTACCACATGCTGTGCAGGCCCTGAAACTGGTCGTGGTGGTTCATGCCTGTTATCCTAGTGCTGGTGAGGCTGAGACGGGGGATCACTATGAGTCCGAGCTGTAGTGAAACCCTGTACCAAGCACATAAATAAATTTTAAAAATTAAAAAGAAAAGTGCATGCAGTTGCTAAAGTGGTCAGTTTTGTAAGTCCAGGTCTTCCTATAATGAGATTGAATCTCTGATTAATGTGGATATCCCTATCACATTGAAATTGTTTTTCTTCCTAGATTCCTGGATTCTGTGAAGGGGGATTTAAAATCAATGTGGCTGATCCAAAGGCAGATAAAGATTGTGATGTGGTGGTTGGCTATAAAGCTGTATATCGGATCAACTTTGCATTGGCCATCTTTTTCTTTGCCTTCTCGTTACTTATGATTAATGTAAAAACAAGTAAAGATCCCAGAGCGGCAATACACAATGGGTATGTACGATTATTTATTATTTTATGAATTGGTTAGATTATAGTATGGTTCCTTCTCTCCAGCAGTTAATTTTTAAAAGTACTTATTTGCAGTATATAATGCTTACAATAATTACATTATCATGGGGAGCTCCTACCTGTACATAATATATCTTAATTACTTTTATGTCCCCTTCTCAGCAGTTAATGTCACCATTCACTTAGAAGCAATGAAATATGTGTATCAGTGGCCTCGATATAAATCTGGTCTGTTAGGCATGTGAAATTGTCACCAGTCTGTGTCCCCAAGTTTCCCAAGGTCACCCCTCCCTGCTATGTCAGGCTCAGTGATTCCCATTGCAGAAAAATAATTTTTAGGGCGTTCTGTAGAGAGACACAAGTAGAGTTTGCTGGCAGTAACAGTACAGCACACACTGAGCAAAATAATCACTGTGGAGGAAAATGTTTTCAAGTGAGAGCAAACAGCCCGCTGGTTGTTTAACCTGGGAGAGGTCCTCAATGGGTTGGCAAAGAGTCTCTCAGTTTAGAGATTTTATACTCAAAAAAAATTACTGCCTTGCTAAAATTATCAGTCCTAGGCAAGAAAATCCCACGAGTCCAACAAGGCTTTTGTTGTGCTTCCAGGTGCCTGGCCTTGGTTGTGGACATGTCCTTCACCTAATCTTTCAGACTCCCTCCTTGGCTTGGCCTTTTTTTTTTTTTTTTCTTTTTTTTTGGTCGATTGAAGTCAGGCCCTTGCGCTTGCCAGGGAAGCGCTTATTCCACTGAGCCATCTCCCCAGCCCCATGGCTTGGCCTTTTCCTGGCCACCTGGAACTCCCTTTTTTTTGGATCCTGCTTGCCTTTTACATATACAAATTGATTGTCTGTAAATTTCTCTTGAGAGCCTCACATTGGCTTAGGAAATGCTACCCAAACCTTAGAAAGTGGAACCCAAGTCCAGCCACACCTGCAAAGTTCATGGTTCACTTTTCTCAGGTCATATTATCTCCTTACTGTTGATATTGGGGCTGTCCTTATCTCAGAGCCAAGTCCCTATGCCTTCTTAATTGAGTCAGTTTTATGACCTTCAGCTATGTCCTGAAAGACTTCATAGTCTTACAAAGTACAATTGTTAGTTGTGATTTTTTTTGTTTGTACCTATCTTAAATTGTTGCATGTCCTTTTTTTGAGACAGTTTTTGCTGTGTAATTCAGAATGGTCTTGAACTATGTAGCCTAGGTTGGCCTCAAAGTCATGGCAATCTTCCTGCCTCATCCTCCTGAGTGCTGGGATTACAGACATATACCACCGTGCTCAGATAGTGTCATTTTCTTTCTTTCTTTCTTTCTTTCTTTCTTTCTTTTTTTTTTGGGGGGGGTATATATAGTTTAGGGTGGTCCTAGGTAGCCCAGGTTGGCCTCCTCAATCCTGAGTGGTGGGGTTATAGACATATACCATCACACCTGGCTCAGTGGCATTTTTAGTTGGAACCCTGTAACATATAGAGTAGTGATGTACCTATGGCACATGTGCTGCAGCAGCTTCATTGGAAGCTCTAAAAGGTTCACTATCACTGATACAGGGCCTAGGGAGTCTTGTCTTTGTTTTTTTTTTTTTTTTTTTTTTAATACTTTTGCTTCAGGGGCCAGGTAGATAGCTCAGTAGAATAAGCGCTTACCAGGCAAGTGCAAGGCCCTGAGTTCAATTCCCGGTCCTGCAAAAAAAAAAAACTTTCTGCTTCAGGTATCTAGATTTTTTTATTGAATACTTTTCAGATACTATGTGAGGCACTATATTTTGAAACTAAAGAGTTTTGTAAATTTTGTGTGTATCGTAATCACCCTTAAAAGACGTAGTAAAGAAGTGTTAAATACATTGCCTAAGATCTCTTAGTAAACAGGGTTGGAGCTTGAAGCTAGGTCTTCCAGCTCCAAAGCTTGATAATATTTATTTTGCTGTACAGTGCAGTTATTAAATAAATGGTGCTGGGTAAATTGGATCAGAAGATTGAGTCAGACCCATATGTCTCATCATGCACTAAACTAAAATAAAAATGAATCAGGGATCTCAATGTTGAATGAGAAACAATCTGCTAGGAGATAAAATAGGTACAAACTCTTGAAGACAAAGGCATAGACAAGGACTTGCTAAACAGAACCCAGTGGCACAAGAGATAATACTGAGAATCAACAAATGGGATCACATCAAATTAAAAAGCTTCTTCACAGCAAAGGAAGTATCCTGTAGAGTGAAGAGAATGGGAGACAGCCTACAGAATGGGAGACAGTTTTTCCCAGCTATTTCTTGGACAGAGGAGTAGCATCAAGAATATATAAAGAACTAAAAAAAAAAAAAAAAAATTAATGTGCCAAAATAGACCCAGTTAAAAAATGGACAACCAAAATGAGTGGATGCTTCTCAGAAGTACAAATTGCCAAAAAGTACACGAATAGAGGCCAACATTGCTGGCCATTAGAGAAGTGCAAAAAAAACTACATTGCAGTTTTAAAACTACTGAGATAAACTACATTGAGATTGCATCTTTCTCCAGAAAGATGATTGTCTCTAAGAAATCCAGTAGCTTCAGGGGAGATCAAGGAATACCTCTCCATTGTTGGTAGGAATGTAAAGCAGTGTAACCACCATGGAAGTGTGTGTGGCAATTCCTCAAAAAATAACAACAACAGAACCCTAAAAATAGCATTCATTTGATCCAGCTATTTCCCTTCTAGGTATTTTCCTGGAAAAGTTAAAGACATATTTTAGAGGGCTGGCCAAATAGCTCAGTGGATTAAAGTGCCTGCGAGCAGGCACAGGGGCCAGGGGTTCGATCCCCAGGCCTGCCATGCTGGCCCCGCCCCCAGGGCACACTGAGCTGGCAATTGAGACTGGGTATAGTGGTGCGTGCCTGTAATCCCAGCTCTTGGGAGGCTGTAAATAGGTGGGTCACTATGAGTCTGATCTAGTAGTGACACCCTGGACACCCTGTAAAACCTTCCCTAAAATACAAAAAAAAGGACATCATATTTCAGAGATACACGTACAGTCATGTTTATAGCAGCACGGTTTATAATAGCTAAATTTGGTAAACAGCCTATATACCCATCAACAGGTGAATGGATAAAGAAAATGCGGCATTTATACAAAATGAAGTACTGTACTATCATAAAGATAAATTTGAGTCATCTGTAGAAAATTGATGAGCCCATAATGTTGAGTGAAATAAGACATGCAAACTTAAATGTTGCATGGTCTCTTTTTTTTGCATGGTCTTTTATATGAGGATATGAACACATACAGAGAGAACACACATAAAATAGAAGATAAAGAGGAAGTGGCAAGATCTTTTTCAAATGAGTGGGAGAACAAAAGGTGAAGGGAGGAAGAGGGAAAGGAAATGGAAAAGATAATGAAAACAGCTTTTCAAATGGGAAAGGGACAGCGGGTAGGAGAGGGGATGAAGTACAAAAAAATGTATGTACCATATCCCTGTTATAATCATTGTGTACTACAGACATACTATATTCAGTGTATGATTTTGTTAACTTTTGGTGGAACTGGGGATTGAACTCAGGCCCTTGCGCTTGCCAGGCAGGCACTTATTCTTCTGAGCCATCTCCCCCAGCCACTACAGACGTACTAACAAAATTAAAAACAAGGGGGGCTGGAGAGATGGCTCAGTGGTCTAGGGCACCTACTTGGAACAAGCTTGGCAAAGCATCAGGGACCGCGGTTCAATCCCCCAGCACCACATGCCAGCCAGCCCCGCCCCCTGGTGGGCTGAGCTGGCCACACACACACACCACTCTCTCTCTCTCTCTCTCTCTCTCTCTCTCTCTCAAATAAATAAAAAATAAAAAAAATTTTAATAAAAAAAAACAAAATTAAAAACAAGGCATTTATTAAAGAACATGGACTGCAAGGTTCTGCTTTGCGAGTATTGAACTTGTGATTATGGACAAGGATTTATGTCCTGTAGAGGTGGAGGATTTGGTGATAATTTTTCTCAAAACCTAATAGTTAATAGCTCTGTAGCTAACACTGTTAGGTCTCATAACTTTAGAAAAATATTTATAAGTATTGAAAGTAGGGAGATTCTTAAATTTACTTGTTTATGAACATAAATGATTTGTTTTCTGTGCTAACATTGTCCTTTGTAAGAAATATGTAATGAAATATTCTCAAATCAAATGAAATAAGCCTAAACAGTTAGGTTGAGGTTATCTTTGAGTACGTGGTTATAGTGCATAATGATTACATTCATTGTGGGGCAATGGGACATGTACATGACACTTTAGTTCTTTTATTAAGACTTTATTTTTGCTTGTAGAAATTTATTTTTCTCAGTGCAGAGATGAAAAGTAGCATTTCATAAATGTATTTTTTGTATTTTTAATAGGTTTTGGTTCTTCAAAATTGCCGCCATTGTTGGTATCATGGTTGGATCTTTCTACATCCCTGAGGGCACTTTCACCTCAGGTACGACTCACTAGAAGATGAACTGTATGATGTACGAATTCTAAAAGTGGTTGACTGAGATTTACATTTCCATTGGTAATTCTGCAAACCATTAAATGGGATAGTATCCAGTTAATATGTCTTGGTACTAATATAGGACATTGTTTTAAGGAATAGGATGCATTCATCTCATTTCTCAGCTTTTCTGGAACTGCATGTGAATTGTTTCCTAATATTTTAATATTTTATCTGAGTTGACAAAGTTAATGAGGAGCTTGTCAGCATGAAGATTTATAACTCCTCTATGTTTTTGGTTTTTTGGTGGAACTGGGGATTGA